GCACTAGCTGGAGGTGAGTGGTCAGCTTCACACCCTGGCCACTTTACCCCAGGGGAAAGTGCCCCTGGTACCCACTGGATAGGAGCCGTGGGGCCCCAGCAGGTCTGGACAACACAGAGGAGAGAAAATTCTTGCCCCTACAGGGACTCGAACTCTCACCCCTCGGTCATCCAGTCCGTAGCCAGTCACTATATTGACTGTACTATTCCGGTTCACCAAAAAGAAAACAACTATAATTTTGCCTGTGGTTTTGTATGGCTGCAAAACTTAGTCTATGACATTAAGGGAGGCACAGGGACAAGGTGTTTGAGAACAGGGTGTTGAGAATATTTTGGACCGAAGATAGATGAAGTGGCAGGTGATTGAGGAAAACTGCATAATGAGGAGCTTCATAACTTATACTTTTCACAAAGTTTAATTAGAATGATCAAGTCAAGGAGGATGTGATCGACATGACGTGTAGCACGAATGGGGAGAAGAAGAATGCATATAGGATACTGGTGGGAAAGTCTGAAGGAAAGAGACTACTAGGAAGACCAAGATATAGGTTAGTGGATAATGTTAAAATGGATCTTAGAGAGATAGGCTGGAGTGATATGGACTGGACTGATCTGGCTCAGGATAGGGATCAGAGGAAGGATTTTGTGAACATGGTAATGAACACTATAGAATGATCTGACTACACCGTCCCGTGTGACTAAAAAAAATACGAGGGTCGTACTGAAAGTCATGAGCAACAATTTTTTGTAAAGTAACACGCTTTATTATTGACAAACCAAATACACCACCTCAATCTACAGACCTTTCTTTATTTTTCCACATAATCGCCACTTCTTTGTACACATTTCTTCCAGCGTTCTGCGAGTTTGAAAATTCCCCTTCTGTAAAATTCCGTTCCAGCCATCCGAAGACACTGGTGCACTGCTTTCTGAATTGCCTCCCTTGTCTCAAAACGCTGTCCACGCAGCTGATCCTTCACAAATCCGAAAAGATGGTAGTCTAAGGGTGCCAGATCAGGGCTATAGGAGGGGTGTGGAAGAACTTCCCACCCCATCTTTGCAATTGCTTCCAATGGGACCTTTGTGGTCTTCAGTCAAAAACCACAGGACCCAACGAGCACAAACTTTCCTATCGCCCAAGCTTTCAATCATCTCCTGTACTGCACTGTGCCCTATTCATAGTTTTTGGGCTATTGTGTTCACAGTCACACGCCTGTCATCTTGAATGATCTCATCCACTCTTTCCTTGTTGCGTTCAGTTGAGGCTGTTCGAGGATGACTGCTCCAAGGCTCATCTGCAATGCTGGTGTTCCCATCTTTAAAATGTTTCACCCATCTTCGAACACTGCTCGCACCCATGCACACACTTCCATAAGCACACTGAATTCAGAAAGCAGTGCGCCAGTGTCTTCGGATGGCTGGAACGGAATTTTACAGAAGGGGAATTTTCAAACTCCCAGAACGCTGGGAGAAATGTGTACAAAGAAGTGGCGATTATGTGAAAAAATAAAGAAAGGTCTGTAGATTGACGTGGTGTATTTGGTTTGTCAATAATAAACCATGTTACTTTACAAAAAATTGTTGCTTATGACTTTCAGTATGACCTACGTATTTATGTATATAATGCCTTTACATGTTTCGGTCAATTAATGACCATCTTCAGAAGGCAAATAACAACACTTCAGGAAATTACTATTACATAAATCATAGTACATCAAGTTCAAAATTGTCCAAAGTTTTATATATAAAGATTTTAAATTAAGCTAAAATGTGGTGAGTTAAAATATTAATAAAATTCTTAATATTAAAATCTTACTGCTAAGGTCCGTGTCTTTGTTCCCCTTCCATCAATCGGAGATTGGGTTTATTGCCACCTTTGGAGGTCTCAGCAGTGTTTTTTCTTATTTATATAGTTGGTTAAGAGTCTGTGTTTGTTGTTGAGCAGCTTCTCCTTTCCTTGCTTGTTGAGGCCTTCTGAAGATTGTCATTAACTGACCGAAACATGTAAAGGCATCATATATATATATATATAGGGTGTTTCACGGCTTTAGAGCATAACTGCAGGAGGTGATTTCCTAGGTCTTTGTGATCAAAAAAGTTCATATAAACATGCGTCCAATTTTGGACGGTTACGGAGTGCAGTGGCACGCACACATGGAACCTACACAGAATAATACCTGAACAGTGCTGAAAACAAGAAGTAGCCGCTGCAGCACTACAGATATAGAGTGGGTACCCCTGAGAATTTAAATTTTAAAATTTGAAAAAATTTTAAGAAATTTTTACATTTGAATTGAAGATTTTAAAAGTGCCAGTTCTGAAAATCAAATTGACGTGTGTAGGCTAACAGAGATTTTGTACATATCTGACAGATATCAGCGGGGAGGATTCTGATATATCAAAACCTGTTAGCAACAGAGAAGTGAAAAATTGGGAAGACTCGTGTTTTTTAAATTTTAAACTCCATGCAGTGTAGCAGCTACGTGAGAGTATACACCTGATGATGGCTGTTTGCGGCCGAAACATGTAGGGTAGAAAAAAGGAAGATGAAAGAACTACAATAAATTGTTGCACTTAGGACGGAGTTTGTGTCATATATTGTGTAAAGTGTAACAGGATGCTTAAATATAATATTACTGAGAATTAGTTACGATTATTTTGCACAAGGCAATGCACTCGAATAAATCACAGAAAATTCAATGTTGACTCTATGGACTGTTTTCGATGAACAAATAATCAACAGAGGACTATGGCCTTCACATTCCCAAGATTTCAATGGGGTTAAGCTTCAAACAGAAAGTTTACAAAAATAATTCTTACTTTATGGTTCAAATTTCAGAATGTTGTTCCAGAAATTAAAGAAGGTGGGTCACTTTCTATGTGTCACATAATTTCTTACATCAGTGTAATGTTTGAGGAAGAAATCTTCAGCAACTACTGTTCTATCAGGTCACAGTAGCGTAGTTGGTTGAGGTACTATGCTACAAGCTGGAAGGTCACGAGTTCAAGTCCAAATGAGGTGAATTTTTTCAATTTACCTAATCCTTTCACCTGCCCCCAACAGAAATGAATACCAGGAATCTTCCTGGGGGGCAAAGGGCAGCAGGCATCTAAGGCTGACAACATTACCGCCATCTGTGAGCCAATTTTCTAGATAATGTGGGACCCCCAATATCTCACAATCCTATGGGCCTCCATTGCCTGTTACAGGGCCAGCTCACTTTACCGTTCTTTCAGGTACTTAAACTGTCTTTACAGACACTAAAAACGTTTATAAAGTACAGATACAGGGGATCTCCAATTACACCCATGCAGTAACATGTTCAAGTCTTACAACAAACAAACCTCCCACTTTAACTGGCAGTAGCAAGACCAGAGTTTGTCACTTGTCCCATTTAATTGTAAAATCATCTTTTACTTTCAAAGAAGAATATAAATTGCAAGTATTTGAAAATAAAATGCTTCATAAAATATCTGGACTTAACCAGGCAGTTCAGAAGATGCTGTGTTATTTACAAAGATAACCAAGCAGTATTAGGGTAATGAAATTAAGGATGTTTTGATAGGCTCGACATGTATTTAAGAAGGACTTGGGTTGGTGGTTATGAAGATAACTATCTTCTGGGATAAAATGCTGTGTAGTCCACTGAAACTCAACCTACATTTCAAAGGTCTCTGCTTGCAACCTCTTTCATGTCAGTTTCTCGCTTGTCTTATTCTTCGACTCTGATGATGGAGGTGACATGTTCCTCTGAAACATGGGCTGACTGTCAACAGACTATATAGCTTTATATCCCAGAAGATAGAACTCTCCATACATCTAAGTGTTGAGACAAAAAATGAACAGAGAATTTTGCTGGTAACATCTTTCTGATGCTGTGGTCACTGGGAAGATCATGGAGATGGAAGAATACCTTTAAGATAGACTTTAGGAAAACAGATTGCAAGAAGGGTAATTACCTAAAATGGCAGGCACTAGCATCAGATGTGTTCAACCTTAAAATTCTACTATTAGAGCCTGAAGAAATAAGCCAGTCAATCCAACAGGAATGTTTCCAACTCTTATACTTTCAAACAATGAAACAGTAAAATAATTTTCTGCAATTACAAAGCCATACATACATATCTCCAAATAGCACACAGAAAAGGTTAAGAATTTTTTATACTTCGTAAGATTGCAAAGGGTTAGACATCAAATGCAAATGGATAACTGAGAACTGTATTATAGAATTTTGTACTTACTTTGTATTTATGGCTTATATGACAATGCCGTTGACATCCCAGGTCACACAGTGTTGAATGGTAGCATGATTACTGAATAGCAAATTGGAAATAATACTGAATGGAATGAAATTATCAGGACTATCTGAAATATTATAATGGAACTTGCTCGGAAGGCAAGACCAAGAGGCTGAAATTCAAACCTGGACATCTCCCAAACATATGTCAAGAATGCAGGTGCTACCTTTATTCTCTTGATTCTGTTGTTATAGAAACACAATACATAGAGGCTATCTACACAAAAATTTTAGCAATAAAAATGAAATAAGACAAAATTAAACTAAAAAGGGAGTCAGCATTAATTTATTGTGGTTATACTATACCACTACATGTTCCATTCCTACTAGATCATCAGGTGGATTCAAAATAAATAACATATAGTCACTGGATTGCAGGTTAACACTGAAACAAATTTCTATCAAATGGATACAATCTTAACGTTAAGATATGTAGTATAATTAAGAATTAAAACGTTTAAAACCTTACATTCAACCTCATATTAAAGAACTTTTAACTTTACTGATCATCCTCCCACTTGATGCTGTTCTTGAAAGCACTGTTATTTAAACTATAAATAAACATCATGTGGGCAGCCTGGAACTCACAAACCAGTCACTTTCATGTCCACTGTGTTTTCTTCACAAAGCCATAATTTAACTTTCTACAGTAATGCCAATGAACATATTGAAAATAACCTTCTACAAACATGAAGTAGTGTACCTGCAACAGGATCATCATTTTCCAAGAAATCACCAAATGTGGTACGGGCATAATGACCAGTTGCAATCGCATCAGCATCCATTTTATGTTGGACATATTTGCAAAAAGTATCAAACTTTATTTGGCGATTACAGAGAATATCTGGATTTGGTGTGTAGCCACTCTGATAGTCCTTCAGTAGATTGCTGTGAACAGATAATCAAAGTGCCTTTACATTAATCAGATATGTCTAGGATCTCCTTATTATAAACTGGCTTCTAATGGGAGGTGAATAGTGGGACATGTTAGTGACTAGACAAAGGGTTTGGATTGGTAATTGGACTTAGCGAACACTTATAAATTGCAACTACGAGTAATTGAATCTACACTTTAAACAAATCACTAAAGCATGGTGACTGCTTGATTACCGTCTTCACTATGCTTTGCTACATTATGGCTAATAACAAAAGAGGTTCATGGCAAACTATACACTTAAAGCTCAAGAACTGCACTCACCAACTACCAACTAAAGACTGACTTGCTTGATTTGCTAATTGCTGCTCGCCCTCACCAACACAGCCATTCTTGGTTCTGAGGTCCACAGGACTCATGACCATACTCACAGTCAGAGCCAGAGTTACTTTAGGGTTGACAGTTTACTGCAGATCAGTTTGTTTCAGTGCCAAGCTTCTTGAGGCTCATGACGAGGTTTTTCCATAAGTCACATGGGTTAATCAATTAAATTACTGCTGGACTTTGTCAGCACAGTCATTCCTAGCTTCAGTCTCCTTGAGATCTATGAAGATTTTTGTTCTCTTTTAGACATNGTAGATGTACACATAAGGAATTCTGAAAACTACAATAAATTCAAGGACTGGTGCGTACCTGTGAAGATTTCCAATAGTACTGAACACTCTGTTCTGCAGTTTCACGAACTCCTAGGTGGGCCAGGCATAAATCATTACTGACATAATCAGAGCTTTTTAAGTCATAAGTTTAGTATTTGTGCTTAAACACTCACTTCTGAATGGGGAATAGGTCCTTAAGCACATGTGCGAGGCCTTGGCTACAGTCCATTCAATATGGAAACTCCATGTCGTCGTCCTACAGAAGGCAACAGCAAGATATGTCACATCATTCACAAAGGGGATGTCCATTCATTTAGTTGTAGCATGCCATCAGGGACTCCAAGCCTTCTGGAGAAATTGGGTCACCTGGGTTTTCCCTTCATTAACCTTTACATTCTGTTGTTCACACTGTGACTTCAATCCAGTGAGGCCATGCTGCAAATTTCAGGGATTCTCAGTCACGCAAATATATGTATCATGCACGAACACAGTAAAATGAGATCCAGGTGCCATGGGAGCATTGCTTATGTATAGACTGCACGATACTAGGGGAAGGATGCAACCTTGAGGTAGCCCTGCAGCTATTTTTCTTGGCACAGAAAATTTGTCTTCTATCAAAACTTTAAATTTTCTGTGTGTGAGAGAAGAAGTAATTAGCTTAATAAGACCTGTCAAAAATTCTAACCATTTACAAAGGAGGCCAGAGTGTGATGTTGTGTCAAAGGCTTTCTCAGTATCCAAGAACACAGCAATCATTGAAACATTACTCGTACTGTTGAAAGTCAAAGTCAGAGTTACTTTCTGACTGGTGGTTTACTGCCAGTCAGTTTATCTTGGCATCAAGCCACTTGAGACTCAACCAGAGATTCACTGGGACTGAATCCATGCCATCATAGTCCATATGTAACATCCTCTCTAACAAGATGTGTTTCCCTTATGAATATGTTTAGCCTTTCATCAAGTGTACGTATCCCAAATAAAGCATGTTATTGAACATTCTTCCTTTTGTACTATATACAATTCCTCTGCCAGTACAGGCAATGCAAAGCAGATCATGCTGATCTTATGTATACCATGCTACAATGGCAGCTTAGTCACTTGAACGGTCACATGGTTGATTGCCAAGTTTAAACCTCTTATATTTTCTATGTCTGGCTTTGTCTTGTGGTATACTGTGAATACACAGTGTGTTCAAGTTCTGTTAGGACTGTGTTCATTAAAAATATAAGACATTAATTATTTTCAAAATTTCACTCTTTTTAATCAAAATAGTCTCCTTCTGAATCAATATATTGCTGGAATCGATTGAAGTTTTCAAAAACAGTCACTGTACTCCTTTTGTGGAATCACATTTAAAACTGCGGTAGATTCCATTTGGATGTCCTGGATGGTGTCATGACAGTCTCCTTTCATAGGCAACTTAACTTTTGGGAACAACCAGAAATCTGCTGAAGCAAAATCTGGCGAATACGGAGGATGATCAAGGACTGTGATCCATTTTCTGGCCAAAAAGTCGTGCATGATCTTCGATTTGTGGGGTGGGGCATTGTCATGGAGGAGTGACCAGGAACCTTACGCTTAATATTTAGGTCAAAAAACGATTGAGGACTCTGAGATAATAATCAGAAGTCACTGTTTGACCTTCTGGCAGAAATTCCTTGTGAATGATTAATTTGGAATCAAAGAAAACGGTTAGCAGTGTCTTTACTTGATACTTTTACATGCACACTTTCTTTGGTTTTGGCTTCTTTGGGCTCAACCATGCTGCACGCTGCACTCTGCCACTTTGTGAGAGGCTCATATTGAAAACACCATGTCTCGTCACCAGTAACAATGATTTTGTAAATTCTGTATCACTTTGGGCCGACCGTAACATGTCTTTGCAGTGTTCCACTCTGGCNAAGGTTTCTTGGTTAAGCAGAACGAATGCTTCGTCCTCTCTTCCCAATACCGTCAGACAGGTAACATCGCCAGTTCCAAATTCGCTGTTTAGGTTGATTTGAGTTTGTGAAATTGTTTCGGCCCGGGCGCATTCTGAAGGGGGAAGAGAGCCATCGCGCCCTGCTGCAGG